CTTCTTAGAATGTAAATGCGATTAATACGAGCGGGGAGCGACCATCGGGTGTTATGCCGGCCCACACCATCATTATGCCCGGCGCTTGAGTTCTGGTGGCCAACCGATGCAAATTTTCAGCTAACCTCTTTGGCAAGTAAACACGATCATTTTGTTTGTTTGCTGGACAACGAATGTTTTCTCATCGGAAAAAAACAAATTCGGCAGTTCACCACTTTCGGTCAAGCGAAGCAACACTTTAGCTCTTTTGAGTCTATTTCCTGCACATCTTGGAATTTCAATTACTTTACCCCTAGCTCATTTTTCATTATTTGCCGAATGAAATGTTGTGATATTTTCAGCTCTAGACCACGAGCCATTTTTCGGCCACTGCGACATGGGTTTCGATCAAGTCACTTCTTTACTTTTCGAACCATTTCTGCTGATGTTGCAGTTTTCTTCCGTCCACTTCCTTGACATATGTCGGGCTACGCTACTAGTATCACGATAATGAGCGATAGTACGAGACACAAAAGATTTATTCACATTTAAATGCTGGAGTGCTCTAACGATAGCCACTTGTTTTTTTCCAGCCAAATATAAAGAAATCAAACTATCACGCTTGAATTCCATCACGAATAACTTTTTTTTGCTGGAAAACTCTCACCAAAATGCTTTTGTACTGAGCTGTCACTGGAATAATTTTAACAGCTGTCGGACGAGTGGCTTGGAAATGACAGCAGTCTGAAGTTGGTTGCAGTTTTTTCATCTCATATTTTTAAATATTTGTTTTTAGAACTATTTAGGCAATTGTCGTGGATTTTATTTATTAATATTTTTCAGGAATTATCAAAGTTTTTTTTCAGATGATATTAAATTTGTAAAAGAGTTTATGTCCCCATAAAATTACTTTTATAATATTTTCAGTACATAGAAAAAATCTCTAGAAAGCCTTTATCCATAAACCACGAGTATGTTTAGAAGATCTTCTGTATCTAAGGGGGAAATAAAAAAATTATATATCTTCATTATACCATAACAAGACCTTATGATTTCTATCTATAGCTATCTGCCTATATTTTTTTGGTATTACAAAACAGTTTTTTTTATAGAAATAATACCAAATCAGTATTTTGCACCTGTTGAAGCCCTATAAATATTGCTTTAGTTTCTGTTTCCTCCTCAACACATACACACACCCATTTCCACTTAAATCGAAAAAATTCCATTTAATCCGCAAATTTAAATCAAAGCAGCAAAATAGTTTACAACGCACAAAACACTGCGAAAAAAAACGAAATGTAAATCAATGGAGGCATTTGATTGGCACTTTTATGTTTTCAATTTTTTTTCGAAAAAAAAAAACTCGAATGTTTACATTGACATTGTAATTTCAACAATTTCGTGTACATAATCAATAGGACAGCGAGAACAAAATTGCCAACAATGGCACAAATAACTATTGCCGGGGAATTTTTTTTCGCCTGCAACATCCAGCAAATTCCTGTTGACAAGAATGTCGAAATATGTTTGAAACGAATTCGGTTATGAAATCCAATTAAATTTTATCTGGAAAAGCGGCGCTAGTATTGGTGGAATCGATGTTGTAATGAATAAAAATGTTATTTATTGGAATTTAGTTTGAAATTTGTGATGTAAATATTGGTCAATCACAGCGAAATGAAATGAGAGTTAACTAGGAGGAGAAAATAATTGCCATGAGATAAGAGAAAGAAAAAAATTTGAGAATTTGATCCTTTGTCCCAGAAAAAAAAATTTTTAAAGTATCAATCGGTTTTGCAGACTATTGCATCAATATCATTAAGGATCAAAATGTTGATCCTTAATGGAGGATATATCAACGAAGTGGAGCAATATTTTATTTCAAACCAGTAAGGAAAGGTCAAAAGTAGGGCGGGGCCCTACACCACTGTGTGTTATTAGTAGGGCTTCCGTAACAAAAAGGCTATATTGGAAATTTCTGTGAATTAGACCATACCAACTATGAACCAAATAACATTGCTGTGATACGACTATCGTTATCGAAGTCGTATATTTAAAATTATTTATTGGAGCAATAGATACACGGGATGGAAACATTTGATTGAATAATAAAAAATCTGTTCAATTTGGGCTGACATTACATATATATCGTAGATGTATAAAAATCTGAACCGATCTCGATAAAATTTGTCAGAGGTATTTTCGAGCTGTATCTGATGCCCGGTATCAAATATCATTGTTGTGGAGTGCATATTACGCATTTGAGGGACTTAAACACCAAATCAGATGAAACATACATATGTGAGCTATATCTATATCTGAATCGATTTTCACCAAATTTGAAGTACTTTTTTATAGGATGAATTCAGTTGGAACTGCCAAAATTCAGTCCATTTGGGCTGATATTAGCCATTTGGTACAAAAAAAAAACCTGAAATCGAATAATGATATATGTATATAGGAGCTATAGCTATATCTGAACCGATTTTCTCCAAATTTGATGCTCCTGCTTCTGGAC